ACTGTGCCTCTGAAGGGAAATAGGTTGCAAAGCAAAAAAATAAAGGAAGCACTGAATAAAAGACAGTCGACAGGGAAAATCCCTGAGTGTTAGAGCTGAAAGGAACCTTAGAGACCATCTAGGCCATGGACTCATCTCACAGATGACCACGCTGAGGCTCACAGAGCGTAAGGACCAAGGCACAGCTAGTCAGTAACTGAGTCAGAACCGAGGAAACTTTGAAGAGAGTCATAGCTCGTTAGCATCAAAATTAGAACTCATGCTAATCTTTAGAAAGAGAGACACAAAATATTCTTAATGAAGGAAAAAAGTTACAGACTGAGACATGTCTTCCTTTTCCAAAGTAAGGAGTGAACAGTGAAAACATAGTTTGAAATACTATTTTGCCAAAAAGTGACTAATAGACAAGCTGCAAAGTAGCTATTTACCTCACTTAAAATGGAATCCCCACACTATCCTGCCCAGAGAGAATGCTCTTCTCTGTTAGTAACACTGGCAAGTCATAAGACTGATTCTTTGATAAAATTAATTTTACAGGCATTTGACAGTGCCTCAGAAATGCTTATTTTTAGCCCATGAACATTCACTGTGAAGCAGCTAAAGAAAATAGGTAATTTCTTTTTCAGGTTAGCTATGGAAATTGGTGAGCAGAAAAGGAAATAAGCTACAGAAATAAGAAATCTGTTCTCAACAGACAGCAATAGCTACTTAACGAATGCATAAAAAAGAAATCCGAGGGTACTTCAAAAGTTTGTGGAAAAATGGAATCGAACAATAACATAAGTCTTTCCATAAACTTTTGAAGTACTCGTGTGCAGGAACACCTGAAGGTGCATCTAAAATGTGGCCACCCGGAGTTTATGGAGAACCTTTTCTCATACACGGCTCCCACTTCCTGAAGAGGGAGGTCTGTTTCAGGCTTCATTCCAACCAGGACTTATTTTTGAAGGTCACCTTTCGGGAAGGAGAAAATTTTTATTTGTTTGAAGTAACCTGTAAATATCTAAATCCCAGGCAATTGATATGCTCTAAGATTATAAAAACCAAGATTTTCAAATCCTCAAGGACAGGAGCTATGCATTCTTCTATTGAACAATTATAATTTAAAATGTTTTATGTTTCTAAAGTACTTTATACTTCATGAAAATGCTTTCACAGTAATTCACGAACAAGTATTTCATGAGGTTTCATGACCTTGCACCTGTACTGTGCTACACGTTGGAAGGTCCAAAAATAAAGAACACATGGTCTCTGCCCTAATGAGGCTTAAAATTCCACGGAGCAGGCAGAGAGGTGCACAGCAACCAGAACTGGGAGGGGACTTAAGTGCCATGAAAGAAGGTGGCACCATGTCCACTGCACAGTTAGTGACAATAAGGATGAACCAAACCCAGGTGAAAATTTCAAACAAACTGTGGGGACAGCAGTAAAGGGAAGGCTTCCTCCGAGTACCACACTTACAGAA